TATAACCTGAGAGGGCCTGTACAAGTGCAATTTTTCTACCTTGCTGTCGTGACCGTCAGTCGTATAGAAATATTCACCTGTCACTGAAGAACCTTTCAAACGGTCTCAGTCATGCTATATAAATGGTATCCAAAATGAATGAGCTTCTCGTGCAGGTATATCAGATGCATGCACAGTACATTATTATCAAAAATAATCCTTGACAGCTAAGTCTTTGTTGAAATGTTGCCTGGTGAGTGAATACTTATGCCTCTCCGCACATTTCGGGACGCTTGTGGGCATCCCCATCGGGACTGCCTTATCATCGAGTGATAAATAACACGGTAACGTTAGTCTATATCAAAAAGTTCAGGCTCTCAAACGCTTAAGGATTTTGATGCATCTGCTGCCGTATACATCTGCGCAATCCACCTAAATATATGGCCTACCTGTGTCCATTTGATTCTACTATTCGGGAGCCAGTCCGTTCCGAGTATTTGAAACAATATCCATGTCTTTTTTGTTGAGTTGCTCCTCTTCCATAAACTGTGGTTGTCTGATCACAAATCGCCGGAGTGTGTGACACCTAGTGCACCTGCCCTGAAGCAATTGTCCTCACCTTAGGATGGTCTTCAGAAAAGCCTTCACCATTTGCGGATAAACTTAACTGTTAAAAACGCAAAAGCCCCTAACGGCACTAAGCAGTGAGTTGCTCAAGGGCAAATGCTCAACATTTTTGGACGATCTGCCGCCGATGCTAAAATACAGTAGATCTCAATCCAATTTTCGGTCTAAGAGCGAGAAGCTTTCTTTTTGCGAGCTTTGTGATCCGCCAACTTTTTGTGTTGACCGCTAATGTACATCGGATTGCCTAGCAAAATTATGAAACCTGTGCAGCAATTGCTAGGTGATGTGGATCTCATTGACTAACAATTTTTTCAAAAATATTGGAGGCAGTAACGTAGGCCCAATAAAAATAGAACTTGAACTCTTCCCAGTTGCTTCTGCTGCTCTTGTCATATATTCTGGCCGTTACGGATTACGTTGCAGCCTCGTCGAGGCTTAGGATCATGTGGAACCGATTAATTTGATTGTCGTTATTGTCTGGAGGTGTACAGTTTTGACCCCATGTAGTAGGAATCCGTGGAGATAGTGAATACATTCTGCCGCCAATGTAAGTTAAGCATTGTTAATCTTGACCTACCTTCGACACCTTTGACAGGAGCGAGTGATCATTACGTTTCGTAGGGTCCACTGATGTCCGCACGAATACCAGCCGTAAGGGCGGCATGCGGCTCAAATATTTGTTATTAAAACTGTTTGCCTCTCAACTTGTGGGGAGCGCATGGGTACTAAAATTTCACTATTGCCGTACTCCAGAAGAAGACAGCTGAACATTGCGGTAAATTGAACATCTCGGGGCTGAAGAAATTTGGGTCCTTGGAAAATTAACTACGAAAACCGCATTGGAAATGAACCGAAACGGTGCTAAAATGATTGAAAATAGGCAAATGAATTAACTGAATAACAGACGGTAGAAATTTGGAATTGACAACTGTGGTGTAATATAATAATGATATATGGGATTACTACTTATAGATGTGTTAGAGGCTCACTATAACTTTTGCTGTGGTGGAACACGGGGCCTGAATTTGAAATCCAAAGGAATGAAAAATAGTATCGCTCTGTAGAGGCCATGAAAATTTTCCCCAGGGAAAATGAACTTCCGATGGCTTCTATGAACAAGTTGTGCTGGATAGCAAAGAGAAGAGCCTTTGGACAGCTCACCTTATTCGTGGGTTTGGGCTGCAAGAGGAAGATTGTTGACGGTTGGGCGGAACGTATTACTGTCCGTCTGCGTTTGAAGAAAGTCACGGGTGTTTCATTGTTCAGTCAGTTGACAACTGCGTTCATATGATTTGAGTAACATCATATTTTTATGCGATGCGTTTGCACGAAACCTTGAGCAGAACACCTGAACCGCAGTTCTCAAGATTTCGGTGAAATCTCGCAAAGCCTATGGGCCACGAAAAATAACCGGGATAACCGGTTTGACTACTGCAAGCAAACGATAGCGCCTGGGCTAGCAGGAGTGTCATCCTGGCTCTGAGGAAACTGGACGTCGTAGGAGATCATTAGATAACTCGAGGGAGCAACATTTCAGCGATTGTCAAGAGTGGAACTGAAGACTGCCCGGCCATAACTATCCTCGCTGTACCTTCTATCGCACTAGATTTTCCCTGTACCTTCTCACGAACGGTGTATTCTCCCCATTACGCATCCAAACCAGCAGTTCGACGACAGTTCGCAGACATGGGTTTTCCTGGGTAGCCACACGCACATCAATCCCAATTTATCTGTAACGCAGTTGAAACTCGACTATATCTGCTTGCACATCAATCGGAGGACTTTATGTGCGCCCCCACTCCCCTCTCTCAGTATTTTTTGTCATCATCATCATTTTCAGCTGTAAGAACCGCGTACTGGCCGTACACTGGTTGTAGCTGCAACTGTTTCGTTCACCGATGATTGTTGGGTAAGTAGCTTCTCATTGCAGGCGCGAGCTGGTAAATTGGTGCATAAATCCAGCACCGTCACTGAGTTGTCAAGCGGGGGTTGGAAAAAGAGCTATGCATTGAAGGCAATAGCTTGGATGCACGAGCGCCACTGAGGGCGCGACTGGGCCATGTCTGAAAATGTCTCTAGCCATTGATGTGGCCCGTCTCGGGGTCCCCATCCAGGAAGACGGCAGTGACCAGCGCAGCTGGATTTGCTGGTAATGGCCTTCATACTTCGCTGCCAAGTCATTGTTTGACCGCCTC